AAATTGGTGGCAACTCGACTCAAAAATATTTTCAGTAGTAAGCCTTCTTAAACCTTTTTAATTTGATACCCATATTGCAATATTTAATTTATCTTATTAATTTCATTTAATTCAATTTTGAAACAGGTGGCAACCCCCTCAAAAATATTTTCGCCTGTAAGCCTTCATAACCTCTTTCTTTTGACACCCATATTGCAATATCTAATTTATGTAATTAATTTACTTATATTGAAATTTTTAAACAGGTGGCAACTCTCTATTTTTTCTGGTTTTAACCATCCGGATATTATAAAAAACAAACCGAAAAAATAAAAATATTAAAATCGGTCAAGCTGTTTTCGAGTCTTAGCGAGGCTAACGGACAGCAATACATTTTTATATATAAGATATCTTCTTTTAAAAATGCGCAGGCTCGAAATTAACTTTAGAGCTATGGTCTGGAGGATTTTTTTTCTTAGAATTTTAAGAAGAATCCGAATATGCTACTTATTAATTGGTTGTGAAATTCAATTGGACGCTTTCAGTTTTTGAGCATACAGCATAAGTCTAGTTTTTGTACTACTTTTGAATCCAAATATTTATNAATTGGACGCTTTCAGTTTTTGAGCATACAGCATAAGTCTAGTTTTTGTACTACTTTTGAATTCAAATATTTATTAAATAAAGTAAACTTGATTCAAACACTACAAAGTGGTGACCCCGTCGAAAGTAAAGATGCCCACGGAAGGAGACGGAGAAATTTTCGTAGATGCTTCGAATTTGCAAATTGCTCGTGTGGCCATTAAACCGCCGCCATTTTGGAAGCCCGATGTTCGGCTTTGGTTTCAGCAGGTGGAAGCTCAATTTATTCGCTCAAATATTACGACAGATGAGACCAAGTTCTATACGTTAGTCGCAGAAATTGATTCCTCAGTGCTAAAGCATGCAGCAGATATCTTTCAAAGGCCTCCGGCAGACAATAAGTACTGAAGGAGCGCCTAAGTAAAGAATTCAGCGGATCGAAGGAGGTACGTATGAAGCGTTTGCTGAGCGGTAATACAATAGATGGTAGGAAGCCGACAACTTTCCTTCGAGAATTGCGAGACTTGGCAGATGGTCACTTAGACGTGCTTAAGTCGCTGTGGCTGCGTCAACTTCCAAGGAACGTGCAACAAATTTTGGAAACTGTAACTGGAGATCTGGATAGCTTAGCGGAGAAGGCAGACAATATTGTGGCGGTCGCGGATGACTCTGGCATTAATGTTGTTAATGGTGATGTAGGCTCAGTCGCATCTTTGCACGGCACAATCATGGAATTGAACAAGCGATTGGAGCGTTTAGAACTGGGAGTGCCAAAACCAGTTATTCGTGTTACAAACCGTCAGCGTAGCTATTCGCCTCGAGCGCGCTTTCGTAATGTAAGATCACCAGCAGGCGAGTTGTGCTGGTATCATCGCAGATTTGGTGCCCGTGCCACCAGGTGCAAAGCACCTTGTAATTTTCGACCTGAAGCGCAGGAAAACTAGTTGGCCCGTCCTTTTCGGCGACTAATCAAATGATGGGGCCTGACGCCGGAGCAGAAATATATGTGGTGCCACGCAACAGTAACGACAATTCTCAAGCTTCATTAGTAAAATTAGCAGCAGCAAATAATACTTATATAAATACGTATGGACAAAAAAACTGACCGTGGATCTAGGCCTGCAAAAANTCCCGCCAACACCAAAATATAACGACGATTAAATCGACCAGCGTGTTTCATGACCTTGTGATCCGATATGCTGATCTGTTGAAGGAGCCAGCGCGACGTAAAGGAACTGAAACGCAGATATGTCACTTCATTGAGACAAAGGGACCGCCAGTGTCACAAAAGGTGCGTAGGCTACCACCGGAAAAGCTGGCAGTAGCGAAAAGAGAATTTAATTATCTCTTGGATAAAGGCATATGCGTTCGGTCAAAAAGTCAATGGAGCAGTCCTTTGCATCTAGTAAAGAAAGCAGACGGCACTTGGCGTCCTTGCGGCGACTACAGGCGACTGAACTCTAAGACGATCCCGGATAAATACCCAATCCGTCACATACAGGACTTCGCTAGCGAACTAGCTGAAAAGAAAATTTTTTCTGTTATCGACTGCAAAAAGGCATGCCACCAAATACCGGTGCATCCAGCAGACGTGCCCAAGACCGCAATCAGTACACCATTCGGACTATTTGAGTTCCGATATATGACGTTTGGCTTGCGCAATGCAGCCCAGACGTTTCAGCGATTTATGGACGACACGCTTAGAGATCTGCCTTTCGTTTTTCCCTATTTGGACGACACATTGGTGGCATCAACGTCAGTTGAGCAGCATGTAGGGCACCTGCGAAAACTCTTTGACCGATATCGCGAGAAGGGATTGGTGATCAACCTGGACAAATGTCAGCTCGGTTTGCCAGAAGTGAAATTTTTGGGGCATTCAGTGTCAGCAAGTGGTATTAAGCCACTACCAATCCGCGTGGAAACTTTAATCGCTCGAGCCTAAAATAGCACAAGAGCTAAGAAGTTTTTTAGGCGCTGTTAACTTTTATCGGCGTTTTCTACCACATGCGGCCGAGATTGAGACACCCCTGCAGAAGATATTTGGGGTCTTGCAAATAGCGCGACAAATCTTTGTTAAACTGGACGCCGGAAGCTTCTGCGGCTTTTGAAAAGTTAAAACACTAATTAGTAAATGCAGCTTTGCTAGCGTTTCCGATTAAAAATGCAGAGCTGGCACTCATGACCGACGCGTCGGATAAGGCAATGGGAGCGGTGCTCGAACAATGAATCCAAGGTGAANCGGCTTTTGAAAAGTTAAAACACCAATTAGCTAATGCAGCTTTGCTAGCGTTCCCTATTAAAGATGCAGAGCTGGCACTCATGACCGACGCGTCGGATAAGGCAATGGGAGCGGTGCTCCAACAACGAATG